TATATATAAATTGCGTACCACCAATTATATATATAATTCCGGGAATTATATAGTGACGCAAATTATATACAACATATTCATCGCCAATATGAATTGTTGTCGTTGATTTTTTTATTTATAAAGGTCATGCTATGCAAGAGAACGAGTCTTTCAGTCAAATTCGAATTAATTATTTCTCATAGAAAACATAGTAACTTACTCGATTGCGTAGTTGTTCAGAGCGGATGAGTGGTGTACTAGTTGTCGAATATATCCGTATACACGGAATATCTAATTATGCTTACTCACAAAAGAGAACACGTCTGCTTAGAAGAGTATGGATAAACATCGTACCGATTCATGTCAATACAAGGAGTGTTGACATGACAATATTATTGATAAAATTGATTCATTTTGCAATAATAGCCTTCTATGATAAATTGTTAGTGCACCACATACGTACTTTAATATTACTCTCATAATCGATATGTATTCTTTAACCTTGGATGCCTCAATGTTTCTGCTAAATTCATAACGAAGCAAAGATCAAATTGGTAATTTGTATTACTATTACATCAGAAGCATGCTTCGGTTTTCACACACGATGTATGATAAAAAAAAGTTTGACTTACGTTTGCGAGTTTGTCTCTGAATTGCATGCAGTAGTAACTATAGGGGAAAAAACGTGAAAGTCTGAATGAAGTCAATTATCAAATACAAGAAAGATTATAAAGCTTCTTGGCATCTTTATTATTTGGTGTGAATTATGTCGTATGTAAATCCCGCCACTATGTAAATCCCGTCACTATGTAAATTCCGTCACTATGTAAATCCCGTCACTATGTAAATCCCGTCACTATGTAAATCCCGTCACTATGTAAATCCCGTTTGGGAACCCTAAAAACCGCATTTATATTATGTAAATCCGTCCAGTCCCCAAAACCGATATATGTAAATCCGGGATTTACATACAACAAATACAACTTTGTGATAACTGATACGTCTAATCTGGAGAAAGCGCATGGAACAACAAAAACACTATAATTTAATTAGTAGATATCTGGGTAAGAGTACATTAAAAGGCAAATTTAAGAATGCCTCAACATAGTCCAACGACAGACAGAAAATATTCTCTTGAAGAATTGTCTACGAATAATATTAATTTCTAAAGCTGATAAAATAATATTATTATAATTAAACTGCTTGCGTTTTAGGAAGGGCAAATCCAACCCTCGAATTTACAACGTCAAAAGCAGCGTATACATTCTTGAGGAAAGGTACACCAACTACCCAAACATTAGGATTACCATAGTTACTACCGTGTTTGTTTTCCTGACCGAGGGGACCAGCAACACCCGATAAACAGAGGCCGTCACTTCCTTCTACCGGACCTCCGGCCAAGGTAATATTATAATTGATGCCAGCAAATTGAAGAGAGACAGAAGCTGTAGTATTGCACGGGACAAGATGAACGCCTTGATATTCAACAGCGCCGTCAATACTTGAATGAACGGTCTTAGCATCGACGTTCGAGGCTTTGATGTAAGGGACACCAGTATCAAGGATTGCAATCTTATTTTTGAAGTTCAAAGGCGTACCGTTAACCGAAACGTCCTCCAAAGCAATCAGCCAAAAACCTGTATTATTGCCTATTAGTGTATTGAACTGAAGACTTCCCTCGAATAAAGAGCTATCATAACCACCAAGAGTAAGTTGACCGTGAGCACCATCTTTTCTACCAAAGTAAAGGCTGAACATTGGTTCGACAACTCCCTGCTGGACTAAACTGTTGAAGAAAGGGATAGCATCGATGGATTCTGGATAATTTATTCGTCCAGCAGACATACCCATAATTCCATCGAATTTAGATTTGCCAAAATCACTTGTCTCATGAAGAGCAAGACCGAAAACTTGTCCTTGAGAAGTGAGGCCACCCATTGAGATATTGTCAGTAGCAACAATACCAGAGATATTGCCAAAGCCATAGGCCTCTAGAAAGGGCTTGTGATTGGTAGAGAAGGTTGTCGATTTGGTAAAATCAAACGATTTTGCTTTTGTGCAGGCAGTGTCACGACACGATGGATGTGGTAACCTGGTTATTGTTTATTTGTTAACCAATAATTGCACAGTACGCAATTGTCGAAATAATAGGTTGCACTCACCAAAGAGCGGCTGAGCCAGTATCCAAGCAGATATTAAATTTTTGCTTAGAAATTTCAATTTCTGCAAAGTATTTAGGATTAGACCCTCCAGTGGAAAAAATGGGCATGTTAATAGGCGTATCAGTAAACGTTTTGTCAAATTTTTTACTGGTTGGAACTGCATTGATGCTAACAATGGATGCAGCGATAATGAAAATAATGTGAAGAAGCTTCATCTTTAACGATTTGAATTGTAGAGTATTATGATTAAGAAACAAATAACACGGTTTGCAAACGATTATGTTCGTCAGAGCTTGGCAGCTATATATATACACAATGCATAGTTAAAATCTTTATGATAAAAGTCGTAATCTTGGAAGTGGCGGTGTATAATTGATGTAATCTGTTGAGGAAATTTATTTAGTAAATACGTTGTTTGGCATATTATATGTGTCTGAATATTGTAAATTGAATGAGATCGAATCTTTTTTTTGCGGGAAGGGAAAGTGAGATATAACCAAAATATAATATATTGAGAAACTGTTTATAAAATAGAAACAAACAACAGAACTTAGCATATTAATAATTGGATATTGGTAATTGGGAAAAGCCGTCATACCGCCTTGTGTAACAGATATCATTTGTAATTGATAGTAAAAATAGCATCAAACGGGGATTTCTCTACCAATTACAATATCAAGCCTAGACTAATATGGTATAATACACGTACTTTAGCAAACGACTTTCTGTTGATATATTATGTACAGTCAACTGCCTTTAATTCGACCACCTTGCGTTCCGGAGTCATCGGTCGAATTAACGTACAGGTCGAATTAACGACAAACGTACTTAAGTAAGAACAATATTATTAAAAAATCGGGTCTTGCTCAAGGCGATCGAATTACTGGGAAAGTCGATGGGAATATGTGAAGACTAATATTCTGCAGATCATGACAATCACATGACATTTACTCTATAAAATGCTTTGGATAATAATGAGGACTGCACGAAATCAAATCTTATAAAAAAACCATATATCATCACGTTTTCGCGCAAACAAATCATTCCTCCGACGATGCTTTCGATCAGCGGTAACACCAGCGCAGCTGATTCAGGGCAAGTCGTACGGGAATTAGCGGTGTAAAAGTAAATAAAATGTATACTGAAGAAAATGTCGATAGAATATTAGAAATAGCGACTAAAAATAGCTCAAATAGACTGATCGAAAAGTATATAAGCAGTAGGAGTTTCAGCTAGAGTCGGGGTCTTTCATATAGAGTGTTATTTCAGTGTTTCGCATGGTGAATTAAGATCCTTATATTCCTTATAATTCATATCGTTATTGTTAATAAAACGAGTATCGTATTTACTCTGAACCTATACTTTTGACCCAATTCTCTAAATTAGTTGATATATCTGAGAAACCGTTATATCCGTATATCAACGAAGGATAATTGCCTCTTGTTCCGCAATTATCTGAGTGGCAAAATAGGATATTTAATCTTTAGCTTATCGAACGCGTTCATTCTTAGTGATAAATCATTGTACCCCAGACGGGAGATTATCGGAATAATCCCTCGATAATAACCGACGATACACTCGAGAGCGGTTAAAATTTCTAGGATTAACGTCATTATACGGTGAAATAGTCCGTAAGTGAAAAACCTTGAATTAACGAGGTCACTAACTGTACCCCAGACGTTTAACTTGAATAGAAGGCGCCACGCTCCATCGAGGCTAGTTAAATCCCAAGTGTCGATTACTTTCTGCTCTCCCGTAGTAGTCGGTACGGTATAATTCAGTAGATAATATCGTGCAACTTTATTGGTTAATAAATTCTTTCAGTGACGTTTGACACTTCAACCTTTCTACTGAGCGGCACATGTATCTAATATCATTTCTGTCGCAAATTCTCTTTGTTCGGAAATTTTCTTAGCTGTCGCAAGTGCTTTCTTCCCATCTTTATGGAAATACTTGCTTCTTCTCTTTCTACTTGTGTCTGTTGTAAGACACCTTAAAGCAAGATTATAAAGCTTTTTGGCATTTTTATTATTTCAAACAAAATGGTGTGAATATATTATTTCTCAACTTTACGATAACTAATACGTCTAATGCATGGAACACAATATTATAATTTAATTAGTAGATATCTGGGTAAGAGACATTAAAAGGCAAATTTAAGAATGCCTCAAAATAGTCCAACAGACAGAAAATGTTCTCTTGAAGAATTGTCTACGAATAATATTAATTTCTAAAGCTGATAAAATAATTAAACTGCTTGCGTTTTAGGAAGGGCAAATCCAACCCTCGAATTTACAATGTCAAAAGCAGCGTATACATTCTTGAGGAAAGGTACACCAACTATCCAAACATTAGGATTACTACCGTGTTTGCTTAACTGACCTCCAGAACCAGAAACACCCGATAAACAGAGGCCGTCACTTCCTTTTACCGGTTCCCCGGCTAAGGTAATATTATAATTGATGCCAGCAAATTGAAGAGAGACAACAGCTGTAGTATTGCACGGGACAAGAGGGTGCGCGCCTTGATGTTTAACAGCGCCGTCAATACTTGAATGAACGGCCTTAGCATCGACGTTCGAGGCATAGATGTAAGGGGCACCAGTATCAAGGATCGCAATCTTATTTTTGAAGTTCAAAGGCGTACCGTTAACCGAAACGTCCTCCAAAGCAATCAGCCAAACACCTGTATTATTGCCTATTAGTGTATTGAACTGAAGACTTCCCTCGAATAAAGAGCTATCATAACCACCAAGAGTAAGTTGACCGTGAGTACCGTCCTTTCTACCAAAGTAAAAGCTGAACATTGGTTCTTCGACAACTCCCTGCTGGACTAAACTGTTGAACAAAGGGACAGCATCGATGGATTTTGTAATATTTATTCGCCCAGCAGACATACCCATAATTCCATCGTATTTAGAATCGTCAAGCCCATTTGTCTGGTGAAGAGCAAGACCGAAAATTTGTCCTTGAGAAGTGAGGCCACCCATTGAGATATTGTCAGTAGCAACAATACCAGAGACGTTGCCACCACCATAGACCTCTAGAAAAGGCTCGTTATTAGTAGAGAAGGTTGTCGATTTGGTAAAATCAAACGATTTTGTTTTTGTGCAGGTAGTGTCACGACACGATGGATGTGGTAACCTGGTTATTGGAGTGATGATGAGGTTTATTTGTTAACCAATAATTACACAACACAATTGTCTTATTGCACTCACCAAAGATTGACTGAGCCAGTATCCAAGCAGACATTAAATTTTTGCTTAGAAACTTCAATTTCTGCAAAGTAGTCAGGATTAGACCCACCAGTGGAAAAAATAGGCACGTTAATAGGCGCATTAATAAACGTGATGGGATCAAATTTCTTGCTGGTTGGAACTGCACTGATGCTAACAATGGATGCAGTAACAACGAAAATAATGTGGAAAAGCTTCATCTTTAATAATTTGAATGTCAATTGCAACTGTAGAGTATTATGAATAACACGGTTTACGGCGATTATGTTCGTCGAGCTTGGCAACTATATATATACAATGCATAGTTAAAATCTTTATGATAAAAGTCGTAATTCTGGAAGTGGCGGTGTATAATTGATGTAATCCGTTGAGGAATTTATTTTAGTAATTACGCTTTTGGCATGTGTCTGAATATTGTAAATTGAATGAGATCGAATCTTTTTTTACGGGAAGGGGAAATACATGTGAAGTGTGAGATATAACCAAAATGTAATATATTGAGAAACTGATTATAAAATAGAAAAGCGAGGACAACAAACAATATAAAACCATACATAGGAAAAATCAACTATTATAAGAAACCTTAGCATATTAACATCGGATATTAATTATTTTCATTGAGAAAGCCGGCATAACACAGGTGTATATATAGTAATTAATAGTGGTAATTGACTCGATCATAGTAAAAATAGATCAGGCGATAGGGGGTGGCTCTACCACTTACAAATATCAAGCCTAGACTAATATGGTATAATCCTACTTTGGCAAACGGCCTTCTGTTGACCATATACAGTATATTAACAAAGATATTGCTATGGAAGAATAGTTCATAGTACTGTGTTAACGGCGTGATGATTGCAGCATTCGTGACCGACTTGTCTTGATATCATACAAACTCTTAACCACACATTTAAAAGATTATTGTAGCGCCAATGTGTTTATCTTTTTAATCGATAGTAATAATAGTAAGAACTATTCTAATACACTATTAATAATACTATTGCAATACCAAGGGATCAAGATTTATCATCATGATTTGTTTGAGGAAAGTCAGCTGGCTTTTTCGTGGCTTCCTAAAAGTTAAATCTGAAAGATTAACAATAGCACATCAAATGTATCAACAGTGTTAATACACAGTAACTCTCGATAAGATGATGTCGTCGGCCGGACCAAAAGGTTCATATTATCGAAAGTTCATTATATCGAGCGATCTCGTTATAACGAAGATCATATTTGAAT